ACCAAAGGTGCAGTTTATGAGCTTTCAATGCCATTCACATACGTACATCGTCTGAATAATATAAAAACTCACATGTGCATCCACCACATCAATTTACGTATATATGCATCAATTATCAACCCAAATATCTCAACAATTGCATGCATGGCAATTTAAATCATAAATTTCAAATAAACGCATTTTCTGGGAAAAACAATAGTATATAGGTAATACGAAAACAAAACTGCCCACTCACTGATAAGCCGATGGGTCGTAACCCCCGTGACGTCCCTGGATGCGCTCGTCCTCGGGATAGGTGTCACCTATATGCGAAACAACTATAAAAATGTTAATTTAAACACATAACCAACAATTCGAAATAACTTTTCATACGATGCTCAATTTGGGTATATGAATATACCACATCGACCTACTCGACGTCACGGACGTCGAGAAATTTTTAGATAAATTTTTGGAGGCCGCACGCGCCGGGACAGGCACGGGGACACGCGCCCCCACGCGCATCATCCCTAACCTCGGCTCGCCGGATTGGTTTTTCCGACGGCCGGTTTCCGGCCAAACTTCAAATGTCTTGTTCTCCTTCGTTTCTCAACCATTTTCTTCGTATTTTATACCAAAATGAAGCCCCAAACATGTAGAATCACGATACACTACTTTTAAGCTCCAAAAACAACTAAATCTCACCGGAAAAATCCAAGAAAAACCGGCCAAAATCAAACCTCGTGATCCCGACGTCCAAATCCTTCAAACGAAGCACTCCGAGCTTCCTTGGGACCTCACTAAGCTCACTATAAGCTTAGAATTCCCTTAAACACAACATTTCACGTGTGCATGAACAGTGACAAAAAATGAGGGTTCGGGTTTCACGTGATATCGAAGGTTTCACCCTCTAAAATTAGTACCATTCAACTCAGGACGACGAAAGGATGAAAAATCTTACCTCAATAGCTTCGATCCGTGAAGTTTTGAATGGTTTTGGATGTGGCCGTACGATATGGGTGTGAGAGAGAGAGAGAGAGAGTAACGGGAAAGAGAGAGGGTAAGGGGTTTAGATGGTCCACATTCAATCCTCACCATCCATCATCTAAATCCCTAACCAAAATTAACAAAAACCAAAATTATAATCCAACTCCTCTTAATTATTTTTCTCCAAAACTAATATAAGGTTAAACCAAATAATGTCACACACATACCTTAATACCCGCTAAGAGTAAATCCGTCGTTTTACGTCGCCGACATTAAAAGTTCAGGACGGGCTGTGACAATCTCCCCTCCTTATAGAATTTCGTCCCCGAAATTCCCATAACTAAATAAACCACTTAATACCCATAGAACAACCTTGGGTACATCTCTCTCATTCGATCTTCTGTCTCCCAGGTAGCTTCTTCTACGGAATGCTTCCTCCACAACACCTTCACCAAACTCACCGTCTTGTTCCTTAGAACCTTATCCTTCCAATCCAAGATAGTGACAGGTTCCTCATCATATGTCAAATCCGGATTAATCTCTAGCGGTTGGGGAGGGATCACATGCGAAGGATCAGAAATATAATGTCGAAGCATAGACACGTGGAACACATTATGGACCTTAGATAACTCCGGAGGCAACTCCAACCGGTAGGCAACTTCACCAATTCTTTCAGTGATCACATAGGGTCCAATATATCTCGGACTTAGCTTTCCTCTTTTTCCAAATCGTACCACACCTCTCCAAGGTGACAATTTCAAAAATACCCAATCGCCCACATTATACACTCGATCAGTGGCATGTCGATCTACTAAACTCTTCTGTCGATCCTGGGCTGCTTTCAGGTTAGACTTAATCACCTGAATATTTTGAGTAGTCTCATCCACAATCTCTGGGCCTTCTAACGCTCTTTCACCAACCTCAGACCAACACAATGGCGTACGACACGCCCTACCATAAAGTGCCTCAAATGGTGACATACCAATGCTCGAGTGAAAACTATTATTGTAGGCAAATTCCATCAAGTCCAGACGATCATGCCAAGAATCACCAAATTGTAACACTGAAGATCTCAACATATCCTCCAACGTCTGAATCGTCCTCTCTGATTGCCCATCAGTTTGAGGATGATAAGCAGTGTTATAAAGCAATTGCGTACCAAGAGCTTCCTGAAAAGCCACCCAAAATTTAGAAGTAAATCTTTGGTCTCGATCAGAAATAATATTCACTGGAACTCCATGATACTTCACTATCTTCGTGATGAATAACTTAGCCAATTTATTCAGAGGATATTTCTCCCTCACAAGAATGAAATGCACTGACTTGGTAAGTCGATCCACAATCACCCAAATACCATCGAATCCATTTCGGGTACGAGGAAGCTTATACACGAAATCCATGGTTATATTTTCCCATTTCCACTGGGGAACGGGAAGTGGCTGCATTCGCCCAAAAGGCTTCTTTCTTTCTGCTTTAACTTGCTGGAAAATAATACATCTACTCACATACTCAGCAATTTCCCTCTTCATACCCGGCCAATAATAAAATGGTCGAATGGTATGGTACATTTTAGTTCCTCCTGGGTGCATCGCATAAGCTGAACAATGCGCTTCATCCAAAATTTCCTTCTTTAATTCCTCATTATTCGGTACATACATTCTGCTTTCCTGCATAAGCATGCCATCTGATTCTCGAATCCTGAGGTCTTTCTTTTTCCCTTCATTTCTTAATTGAACCATTTCTTGAATTTCCTTATCCACCATCTGAGCTTCGAGTATACAATCCACCAAAACTGGCCTGACTTGAAAACTGGCAAGAAAAGCTCCACTCCGATCTTCCAACTCCAACCTTACTCCAGTTGCCCTCAATTCAGCAAGAAGAGGAACACGGCAAGCATATAAAGCATTGAGTCTACCCTGAGGTTTCCTACTTAGTGTATCAGCTACCACATTAGCACGACCCGGATGATACTCAATAGTACAGTCATAATCACTTAATAATTCCATCCATCTTTGCTGACGAAGGTTAAGATCATGCTGAGTAAATAGATACTGGAGACTCTTGTGATCAGTGAAGATCTTACACTTCTCACCATATAGATAATGCCTCCAAATCTTCAAGGCAAAGACAATGGCTGCCAATTCAAGATCGTGAGTAGGATAGTTCCTTTCATGATTTTTCGACTGCCGAGAAGCATAGGCAATCACTCTATTATGCTGCATCAAAACACATCCCAAACCATTCAAGGAAGCATCACTATAAATCTCAAAATTACCGCTATCATCAGGAAGTACCAATAATGGAGCATGAGTGAGGCAATATTTCAATTGCTGGAAACTCTGCTCACAATTCTCATCCTACTCAAATTTAACATCCTTCTTGGTCAACTTCGTTAACGGCAAAGCAATCATAGAAAAATCCTGAACAAACCGTCGGTAATAACCTGCCAAACCAAGAAAACTCCGTACCTCAGTGACGGTTCGAGGTTGTTCCCAATTTTCCACTGCTGCTATCTTTTGAGGGTCTACCTGAATTCCTTGAGCCGATTCAACATGCCCCAAAAATGCCATTTCAGTAAACCAAAACTGACATTTACTGAACTTGGCATACAACTGATGTTCCCTCAATTTCTTTAATACCAGGTTAAGATGTCGGATATGATCTGTTTGAGACTTAGAGTATACCAGAATATCATCAATAAAAACAATAACAAATTTATTAAGATATTGTTGGAATACCTCGTTCATCAACCTCATGAAAGCTGCAGGTGCATTGGTTAACCCAAATGGCATAACCAGAAATTCATAATGTCCGTAACGGGTTCGGAAAGCCGTCTTAGGTACATCTTCATCTTTAATCTTCAACTGATAATAACCAGATCTCAAATCAATCTTAGAGAATACACACGCACCTTTCAGCTGATCAAACAAATCATCGATGCGAGGCAATGGATAACGGTTTTTAATCGTTACCCGGTTCAATTGCCTATAATCAATACACAATCTCAGAGTTCCATCTTTCTTCCTCACAAATAATACTGGAGCTCCCCAAGGTGACGAACTAGGTTGAATGAAACCTTTATCAAGTAATTCTTGCAACTGAATCTTTAATTCTCTCAACTCAGCAGGAGCCATTCTATAAGGAGTTAGAGATATAGGGTCCGTACCTAGAAGCAAATCAATAGAGAATTCCACATCTCTGTCTGGCGGCAACCCTGGCAAATCATCAGGAAATACATCAGGATAATGCCTGACCACACCAACTTCTTCTATACTGGTAGGAACAACATCATTTAACACCACATGTGCTAAATATCCCTGACAACCCTTCGATAATAATTTCCTTGCTCTTATGGCAGAGATAACACCATGTCTCACCCCACCTCTTTCGCCCACAAAAGTAACATCGGGTAGTCCAGGGCGATAAAAAGTAACTGATTTCCCATAACAATCAATATGGGCACGATTATAATGCAACCAATCAGCCCCTAGAATCACATCAAAATCCACAATATCTAACGGAATAAAATCAGCTGGCATAACTACGCCCTCTACCATCACTGGACACCCAAGGTACACACTATCAACATAACATTTATCTCCTCTAGGCATGGCAAACTCTAAATCAAATCCTAGAAGTGAAGGGTGAGGTTGAGTCATTTGAGAAAACGTATGAGAAATCACAGAATGCGTAGCACCACAATCAATCAAAACCCTAGCAAAATGACCAAGAACATTTAACGTACCCATGATCAAGTCTGGATGGTTCTGAGCCTCTTGCAGTGAGATGTGATTAACACGCCCCTGAGCTTGCTGTCGTCCACCACAACCTCTATTGCCTTGATTACCTCGCCCCTGGGGAGTACGTCCCTGGCCTGACTGACTAGGCTGCCTAGATGATCCTGCACCACCAGTAGCAACTTCCCCCTGACGGGGTTGACCTTCTTGATGCCACTGAGATCCTCCAGCTGGCATGGATGAATAAGAAGAATAACCCACAAAGTCCTAAGAATACCCTGTCTGAGAATAAGGCTCCTAGGGATACTGATAAGGTCCGGAAGCATATGGTGCAGCATCCCCCTGGTAGTGGTAAGCACCACCACGACTCGACTGGCCATAACTGCCTGGTCCAAAACTCTGCTGAATCGGCGCTGAATGTGGCATAGTGGTCTGCTGAGGTCTCTGCTGACCTTGGGGACAGTGAGAAGCCTGATGTCCCATTTGCCCACAAGTATAACAAGCACCACCACCTCTCCTGCACTCACCATGATGACGAAAATTACAACGATGGCACCACGGAGCGCCAGAACCACCAGCACCACCAGAATCCCTTTGCTTCTGAAATCTGGGCCCACCAGAAAATCTTCCACCACCTCTCATCGGGCCAGTAATACTATATCCACCACTATAAGAACTCGAACTCGCCCCACTCTTCTTAAAATTCTGCGTCTTGCGAGGTCCCGGAATAGAGATACATTTACCTTTATCATCTTTCTTCTGACCATCATTCTTGTCCTCGTCATCCTCACTGTCACTGGGGAGATTATCGGAGTCCTCAATCCTAACCAAAATCTCGAAAAACTCATGATAATCGGCGCAGGGAAGTGCACTGGCAAAAGTTCGCCACATTTTTTTTAGATCCCAACTTGAAACGTCGAAGCATCTCTCCTTGATTACCAGCTGTATCAGGGTCATAGCGAGACAAATCAGTAAACTTTCTATAGTACTCATGAGCTGACATATTCTTCTGTTTCAATCGAGTAAATTCCTGTTTCTTGCGATCAATATACTCTGGGGGGACAAATCTCTTCATAAAGTTCTCCTTGAATACTTTCCAGTCAGCAGCCGTCTCAGGTGACAAGAACCTAGTCTGATTTTCCCACCAAGCTGTTGGCTCTCGACCCAAAAACCAGGTAGTGGTCTCAACCCACCTATCAGCCGGAAAGTTCCCCTGACTTTGCATCACCTGAAATGTCTTTTCAATATGATCTAGCCATTTCTCTGCCCCATCGTGACCTTCATTACCCATAAAACGATCCAGTTTCAAATTGTACATGGTCTCTAGGGGTGTCCCCTGAGGTGGGGGAGGAGGACGAATTACATTCTGAAAAGCCTGGGCCATTGCTTCCCCTATCTGAGTGATATCCGGGAAATTAGATTCAGGAGCACGGCGAGACTCCTTACGCTCTCTACGAGGCGGCATAATTCTGACAGAAAACATCAAAAGATCATTAAAGCGTTAACAATTATACAAGACTGCAACCTAGGCTCTAATACCAAACTAACACACCCCGACCCAGATGATCAAGGCGTGCTAGCCATCACGTGAGCGTGACGTAGCCAAAAGTGCGACACGGAAGCAAGATACAACAGAAATATGAAGGAATTTAAAGCAATCACTAGCAGAACAACCTACTAGCATGAAAAGGGAGTTATAAAGTAAAACACACAAATTCAGAGCATAGGTTTAAGTGCAGTCAAGTAGGACCAAAATAAAAATACAACACCCGCAGGTAAGTCCTATATGCAGAACGTCTGTCATAATGCCGAAAAAGACCTCGAGAGCCACCAACTGCTAACTAGAACCTGGAGGGGCGCAAAACAAAGGTGAGTGGGTCAGTAAAACCAAAGATTTTCCAAAACATTTCATTTAAAACATTTCTAACCTCTCTCCGTAAAACCTGTATACTTTCCCAGAAAATAGAATATAAACATATATATATACACATATCATCAAAACTCAGCTCATCATCTAACAATATAACATCTCAGAAAGAATATGCCATGCCGTGCCAAAATATAATAAGAATGCATCAATATAAATCAGGTGAAATAATAAATCAACCGGAGACCCTATAGTGGTCCTGTACGGCTGATTCTATAGCTCAATATCCCATCCAGCCGGAGTCACCAACTGTGACCTGTACGGCCCTGCCGGAGTCACCAACTGTGACCTGTACGGCACTACACTGCACATAAGTCGGAACTACGTATAGTAGTCTGTACGACTAAAATGGTGAATATAATACGCTCTAGTGCTTCTCTCATCAATCATCTGCGCGCATAATCTAAGGTCACTCACCAGTCGGAACCCCTCTAATGGTTTGTACGACTGGCATGTCGGAACCACCTCTAGTGGTCTGTACGACATCCACCTACTTGGATCCAAAGCGAGCGTGCGGTGTGGTGAATACTATAAGCACTAATACCAAAGGTGCAGTTTATGAGCTTTCAATGCCATTCACATAAGTACATCGTCTGAATAATATAAAAACTCACATGTCCATCCACCGCGTCAATTTACGTATATATGCATCAATTATCAACCCAAATATCTCAACAATTGCATGCATGGCAATTTAAATCATAAATTTCAAATAAACGCATTTTCTGGGAAAAACAATAGTATATAGGTAATACGAAAACAAAACTGCCCACTAACTGATAAGCCGATGGGTCGTAACCCCTGTGACGTCCCTGGATGCGCTCGTCCTCGGGATAGGTGTCACCTATATGCGAAACAACTATAAAAACGTTAATTTAAACACATAACCAACAATTCGAAATAACTTTTCATACGATGCTCAATTTGGGTATATGAATATACCACATCGACCTACTCGACGTCACGGACGTTGAGAAATTTTTAGATAAATTTTTGGAGGCCGCACGCGCCGGGACAGGCACGGGGACACGCGCCCCCACGCGCATCATCCCTAACCTCAGCTCGCGCGAACTGGTTTTTCCGGTGGCCGGTTTCCGGCCAAACTTCAAATGTCTTGTTCTCCTTCGTTTCTCAACCATTTTCTTCGTATTTTATACCAAAATGAAGCCCTAAACATGTAGAATCACGATACACTACTTTTAAGCTCCAAAAACAACTAAATCTCACCGGAAAAATCCAAGCAAAACCGGCCAAAATCAAACCTCGTGATCCCGACGTCCAAATCCTTCAAACGAAGCACTCCGAGCTTCCTTGGGACCTCACTAAGCTCACTATAAGCTTAGAATTCCCTGAAACACAACATTTCACTTGTGCATGAACAGTGACAAAAAATGAGGGTTCGGGTTTCACGTGATATCGAAGGTTTCACCCTCTAAAATTAGTACCATTCAACTCAGGACGACGAAAGGATGAAGAATCTTACCTCAATAGCTTCGATCCGTGAAGTTTTGAATGGTTTTGGGTGTGGCCGTACGATATGGGTGTGAGAGAGAGAGAGAGAGAGAGAGAGAGAGTGTCGTGAGGGAGGAGAAAGAGAGAGAGTTACGGGAAAGAGAGAGGGTAAGGGGTTTAGATGGTCCACATTCAATCCTCACCATCCATCATCTAAATCCCTAACCAAAATTAACAAAAACCAAAATTATAATCCAACTCCTTTTAATTATTTTTCTCCAAAACTAATATAAGGTTAAACCAAATAATGTCACACACATACCTTAATACCCGCTAAGGGTAAATCCGTCGTTTTACGTCCCCGACATTAAAAGTTCGGGACAGGCTGTGACAAAGGAATAAAATCGGTGAAAATCTAATCCGCATCAAAATAAATAAGTATTTTTCCTTCCCCTCACTGTTGTAAAAGTGATATGCAATTATAATATATTACTTGATGACACTACGTACGTGATGGCCACATTAAAAAACTTTCGCAATGAATGAGCAATTGAATAATTCTGTTGGGTTTGAAAAAGACTGTGTCACGTGCAGTGCACGTGATACACATCCCTACTAGTAGGTGTCCATTGGAGTTGGTTGGTACCCATTTGGTTCAGGACTTCGACGATCTCACGCTATAGAATGGGCATATGGGTCCATTGAAAGTGGTATATTCGATCTATGGGCAACAAGGTTTTGGGTCCTTTGGGCTTTAGCATATAGGGCTTAAGGTCGGACAAAAAACCATTATGATATTTTTAATCAATAATTAGAGTTTATGATTATCATTAGCGTTTAGTGATATTCTTTTCCATTTTATGATATTTTATATTCGACTCTTATAAATATCGAGCTCAATACTAACAATTGCTTACTCCAATATCGTTCTATAAAAAATGTGATTCATTGAAGTATTCAACTTTCTAAGCCAGTATTTTTTTATATAAAGTAAAAATTAGATGTCACTAAACCGAATAGTAATTCCAAATTTTCCTGTATGTGTTTGAGAAAGAGTAATCAAATTATTAGCATTCTTTATGGAGTAAGATGGCAGCATACCCAGTTTAATATTTTGTTATTGGGCTAGTGGGCTCATCTGAGATGATGCCTCCCAAAGATGCATCTTATATTCGTACTTGTTGCGAATAGGCATATATGCATTATATATACATTCATCTGCATGACACATAGAAAAAAACAGTTTTCTTCTGAAATACCAAAATATTCTTGCTGAGAGTACAACAAACATATTCGCCAGAAACCAAGTTTTCTAGTGCTGGAGTTCAAGTTTGATTATTGGATCCCAATGAAGCAAACGTCTATCGAACTACAAGCACCGAGTATGGACAAAATTATGTTTCAAAGACATTGTGGTACACAAGCCTTGATCACTATTTTTATTTGTTTGATATTAATATCCTTTATTCAAAATCTGTCAAATTATTGAGTTGAATTTATTCTTTATTAGCATATAAATAAATAAATATATATATATATATATATATATATATATAGGAATTGCTTAAGGGGAGGGATCCCCATTTTAAAAAAAAAATGGGGACACGCTCCCGACCGTTGGATTTGACTTAAATGAAATCATGTGGTTGAGATTCTATGGCCTGTGTTTTAATCTCAACCACACAATTTCATTAAAGTCAATCTAACGGTGGGGAGCGTGTCCCCATTTTTTTTGAAAAAAAAAAATGGGGATCCCTCCCCTTAAGCTCCCTGTATATATATATATATATATATATATATATATATATATATATATATATATATATATATATATATATAACTTTGTAATTAATTGTTGATCATTATCCAACACGACCCATCTCCACAGACCCTACGGCAAAAGCCCGCCGTCACTCTTCCCACTTGGTCCATTCATCGTGGTTTTCGATTAGGTCAGCAGTAGGGCAAGATGCCATAGCTCCACCTAGACCATTGACACGGATTGAAGATCACCATGCTTTTCCTGCTTCCTCAGCGAGAAGGACGATGGATTTGAGCGCAAGTCCATACGGGCGTTTTTGTCTTTCCAGCAAATCACCATTTTTTATTTGTCTTTTGCAAAAACTGTTACATGCCATTCTATTGTCATATCTCTCCACTCAAGTGACTCACCCTATAATTCGCCCTCTTTAAAAGTGAAAAAGAAAATGGTAAATTACATAATTACCTTTTTAGATTTGAGGTATTATAACTCTATACAACATCTTTAAAACATTTCACTTTCACACCTCACTTACTATTTTATTTCAAAATAATACTTCCGTTAGATTTTCCATCCATTAGTCTGTTAAATGCTGACGTGGCTGCCATATTTGTGCTGCTATGGTTGCCACGTGGCAAAAAAAAATAATTTTTTATACATTAAAAGTATTATAATATTAACCTATTAAAAAAAACTAGAAATCCTTTCTCGAGTCTCTCTCGGATCTCTCACTCTTTCACTCTCTATCTCTCTCTCAGACTCTCTCCCCAACAGTACACCCACGCACACACCCATCGACACACCCACACCACCGATGACACACCACTACCACTGTGGACTCTCTCACTCTTTCATGTCACTCTTCTCCCTCATTCTGTCGGCTTTTCCCTACGATCTACATGCGAAAAAGAGCATAGAGTCAAGGGGAAGGGTTTTGTACCTTAGATTGGTCATGGGATGGCCAGAGTCGGCTAGGATCTAGCTCGAAACTCACCGGGTTCGCCGGAGCTAGTTCTCGGTTTCTGGGCTTCACCTAGCTCCACAAAGACGAGGGAGAGTAGAGAGAGAGTCCATGGTGGTGGTGGTGTGAGTGTGTAGATGGGTGCGTGTGTGGGTGTCCTGTTGGGGAGAGAGAGATAGAGAGTGAAAGAGTGAGAGATATGAGAGAGACTCAGGAAAGGATTTCTGAGTTTGGGTTTTTTATTTTTTAATGGGGTTAATATTATAATATTTTTAATGTATAAAAAAAAATTCGCCACATCAGCACAAATGTGGCAGTCACGTTAGCATTTAGCAGACCAATGGATGAAAAATCTAACGGAGA